AACCGAATTGTCGAACCAAAATTTAAAATATTGACAGTTGATATCTATTTTTAACTACCAATTATCGAATTACCAAATCCAAAATTTGAAAATCTCAAATCGAATACTAAATGCCCAACTCTAAAGGCAAGTATAGTGAAACGGAACATATTGTCAATTCTTGGATCAAATTCTTAATGAGGAAAATCAACTGCACAAAATGGTTTCTTCTCTCCAATCTAAGAAATTATATCGTAGATCGTCCTTTTCAAAATAATGCACCTATTAAAATTTTGAATACACCTATGTACCAATCTCATAGTCCTCATCCCCACTACCCTCACATCCCTAACCCCCATGCCGACCTTAATTGTGCTTGCTCAAATTTTACACAAATATTATATTCAACTTATTTATCAAATATTACAAAATAAATAGAAAAAATAGCAAATCTTCCATCATACTGAACACACCTTAAAAGTGTTGTTCTTCAATATGCTTGATATCAAATTTTAGAATACATAGTGGCTTGAACACACACTCAAAGTGTTATTCTATGATATGATATGTTTTACCCTAAAAGTATTGTTCTTCAATTATACTTGATATCAAATTTTAGAATAAATAGTTGCTTGAACACACACTCAAAGTGTTATTCTATGATATACACTTTATTCTATGATACTAAAACTTTATTTATTCTAAGATACTTTTCTCAAAATGCACACTATTTCATGTTTATAATATAGGCAACTTTGCAATTACACAAGTTAAAGAAAAACTGATCTATATATAGTATACCCAGTTAGAATTTTATATTCACCATCTTTCATATTCCTTCACCTTCATAAAAGTTAAGCAGAGAAAAAGAATTTAAGAAGAAACTCAAGTACACTCTAACTAGTCCATTTTGAATCAGGTAATTTTTAAATGTCTTATACAACATCCCATCCTACATACTATAACAAATAAATAATTTTGTGAAAGTACTATAATTGGCGCTATATTATATTTAGCGGTAATAATATAATATAGATATTTAGTAACCAACATCGTAGATAAATGTCGTTAAGTATATAGTAATTGTCTCAATTGTACCTAAAGTTCCATCTCCTAAACCTACTAATATGCTACTCATATTGAAACCAAATTAGTTCTTACCTATTGAGTTACAAGGTATTCTATCAATTTGAGTATAGTAAGCGGCAAGATATTTAATATCTTTCTTTTAATATGATTTAAATTTCTCTTATTCGATGGATACTTAATTTTAGTAGACTCAGTTCTAGAACCCTTCCATTTCAATTTGTTTATTTTTGTTTAACTCCATACTTATACAGTATTGTAAAATAGTGGAATAGAACTTTATTATTTTCGTCTTTCATATCCCCTTGATTCATTACTTTTAAAATTTGTAAAAGCGTTTAGAGAGTTTTAATCAAATTAAAATTCCACGAAAGTATACTTAATATCGTGTTCTAACTTCTACTTGTGACTCTTACATAACAACAACAACACAACATATCCAGTGTAGTTCCTCAAAGTGGAATCTATGAGGGTAGAGTGTGCAGACACCTTGCCTGAGATAAAGAGGCTATTTTTGATATATTTTCAATAGTATAGCACAATAGTATTACAGTAAAATCATATTATAATTAAACTATATGAAATCATAAATAGCAATAAAAATCGAAGAACAAGAAACTAAAAGAATATATAGTCCTATGACTACTAGTAAGGACAACAAGAAAATGCCCTTTAAATTTGTTTGATGTTTTTCATTTAAGTACTTATACTAAAGATTATACCTACTGAATACTTGGATTATGTATAAATGTTCCTATTAAACATTTTTTAGACAATAAAGTTTTTAATCGCTTGATTTTCACGTATTTGACATGAAAATTTTTGTTAGAAGAAATTCTATCGACATTTTCGTAGTTTTTATATAAATTAAAAAGAATGTGTTTTTTGTAGGAATTAGAATTGAAGAAAGAGGGATGGAACACTCCATTGAGATTACCTCAATAGATGACCAAACTCCACTGCTTCTTCAAACTGAAAAAGATGAGGTATCTCTCTCTCTCAGTACTATATCAATTTAGTTTTTTATTTCATTTGGCAATTAAATATAGAATCTTTTAGACTATTTCCTTTCATGTAATTTTAGGTCTACCTCATGATCCTAACATAGTCACTTACTATGGTTTTACACCTTATGGAATTTTTTTTTGAATTTGAGTCGGGTCTGGAGGGGTAAAGAAAATAGGTCGGGTGAAATAAGTTTTAAAAGTCTTGTTAGCATTTTTAAAATTAAAAAAAGCAGTTTTAAGTTGTTTTTTTTTTAATTCATCTTGTAACGAAAAAGGTAAATATAGATAATTTGTTGAACGATGAGGTATATATTTTTAAGCGCAGATCAAGGAAACAAATGATGAAGATCCATCAGGGTCGCAAACAAAGAAATGTATAAATCAAATCTTTGATAAAATGTTTGAGGATTTGGACAAATCATCTCTTAAATTTTGTACCATATTCAAAGTAAACGTGCGACTACGTGAATCAAATCCAGATGCTTATACACCAAAGATAGTGTCTATTGGTCCTTATCATAAGAAAAATCCTCAACTTGGTCCAATGGAAGAGTACAAATTATTGTACCTACGACGGTTTCTGAAACAAAGAGAGGGGGTTGACGTGAAATCTTGGATCGGTATATTGGAGGAAATAAAGGAGGTAGTACTAATGCGTTACGACAATATAGAAAACGTCGATACTGATGAATTTTGCAAAATGTTATTGCTTGATGGTTGTTTTGTGGTTGAGTTTATTTGAGAGTGTTCTGAAATATATCCAGAAGAAGAAAACAAAATTATCGATTTTGTTGATTACAAATATAATCAAATACTCCGAGACTTGTTGTTACTAGAAAACCAACTTCCTTTCTTGATACACAAAGTCCTTCATTTAATGACAGCGAAAACTGATGAATTACCATTGGAAAAACTGGCGATCACTTTGTTTAGGCATGTTGTTAACTTGGGATATATGTCAGACGGTTTGATATTTGATAATGAAAAATGTGATATGAAACATTTACTTGAAGTAGTACACGTTGTTTCATGTCCGAGGAATTCCGATGAGAAATGGGCAATCGACAATGAGACCAAGTGGAATAAGGTCATGCCAAATGCAACAGAGCTTTCTGAAGCTGGAGTTAGATTTGCAAAGGTCAATCAGACGACAAGTTTATTTGATATAAAGTTTGAGAATGGATTGATGACAATCCTTCTATTGATGTGGTAGATAGTACAGAAACCCTCCTGCGAAATTTCATTGCTTATGAGCAACAATCAACTGATTTACAATATTTATATTTCAGTGATTATGCAATTTTTATGGATCATCTTATCGACTCAGATAAAGATGTGAGCTTGCTTCGCCGTAAAAAAATCATAGCAAACTAGATAGGAGAGGACAAAGAAGTGGCTAGCCTCTTCAACAAAATCGGAAATGGGGTCACTACGTATTCCAACTTCTATTACAAAAAAGTATTCTTAGAAGCAGCTAAACATTGTGATGAAAAACCATGGAACAGAATGATGGCAAGTTTGAAGCACAATTATTTTAGTAGTCCTTGGGTAGGAGCTTCAACTATGACAGCCGTCATACTCCTCATACTCACAGCTATACAGACTATTCTAGCTATCACAGGTGCCTTTAAAAGTACCAAGTAATTGTCTCAATTGTAATGTTGATGAGCTTATGAGTTATCATTTCTACTCTCTCATTTTATTTTATGTTTAATTTGTCATTAATTCAAGAAATGGTTGCTTCAACACATACTTACGCTATTATATTGTCCACCTGACTTCTATATTGCATGTGATAGTTAATTATTGGTAATAGCTTCATTTTTGCTGAATATTTTATTTTAATTAGAGGCAATTACTAGCGACAATTACACTTTAACACTCTTTGTAAATGTCACTAAAATCTATAATGATATTGAATCTAATGAAAATTAAGTAAAGACTTTCGCACTCTTTAGTAATGCGCAAAAAGTAAAAGTCTTTTTTGTTACCGTGACATGAGAGTCATATGTTAAATTGGCTGCAGTTGTGTTTGCAATATGAGCAACATGTCCACAATGCGTAAATAAAATTAACTCTATGGACACTTCCAAGAGCAATAACGCCAGAAAAAAACAGCTAAATCAAACCAAAAAGGCCCATAATTAATATCTTATAAAATTACTTTCTTTGTTGAAATTTTTTTTTTAAAAAAAGGACTTTCTAAAATTATAAGGAACTATTGATTGAATGAGTATCATATGAGAAATTAACCCTCGAATAATATGTCCTGCTTGAATTAATATATTCCGTCTAATAATCAATTTTTTTAACAGAACTGAGACACCCAGGACCAGGCACCCAAAAACTATATATAAAAAGAAATAGTGCCCCAAACAAATTATATAGTATGTTGTGCACATGCATCGCACAAGTTTCACAACGCACGTTTCCCTTTTTATGTATTATTATAAACCTTATAATCAATGTTTTTTTTTCTATGATAATATTTTCTATGATTAAAATTGTATCTTAATTTAAGAGCAATTGCTCAAAAGTGACAATCACTGACTCATACACATGAATTATGAATATTGTAGCTGGCTTAGCTCTCTTTTTCTTGATTACTTTTTTATTTTACTTTTACCATAATAATAAATTAGTAGTAATACTTTTGAAAATGTGTGCTAATTAATTAATTATAGCAAGTATAATTAGTAGTATCATTCCTCTTTTATATATAAGTTGTAACACTCATCCTTCAAGACAAGCAAGAGGAACAAATTAATAAGGAATTAAAGTGATAATCAGCCAAATTAAAAGAGGTAAATTTCTGCCTTTCTTAGGAAAAAAAACTTAGGAATTTTAATAATTTGTTGTGGAGTTCATTACTAACCATTTTTATCTTCTTCTTTTTTTAATTATTGGAATTACAGTCTCAAGAAGGTTATGGCTCATCATACTGAGATTGTGCCAATAGATCAACTTTCTCTAAGAGAAGCTACAAAAGATGAGGTATCTCTTTCTATGCTAACAATTTGTGTGTATGTTAAGGAACTTGAATATTTTATTTGTATTTGTTGTTTATGCTAAGGGTGTGTTCGGTATGACGGAAAATATGTAGGCTTATTACTTATTTTCTTGTATTTGATATGTGGGAAAAAAAATATTATCTTGAAAATATGTGTATATATATACTATGACTTATGAGAGGTGAAGATGGGGGTAGGGGGTGTGGATTGGTGGAGGTGAAGATGAGGTGTCGGAAGGTGGGAGGACACTATCAAGGTGGAATGTCAGTTGTGTAACTTGATTTTCCTACTTCTTAAGGAAAGTTAGTTTCCTCATTTTTAAAGACTTCTCAGCTAATAAAAGTAGAGAAAAGCAGTTGCGTACAAGTAGCATTCCACATTGATTATTCTCTGTCTGAGTTATTATTTAGTACTCCACTAATTATGTATGTTTAAAAAAGCAAAATGTATAATAGAGAAAAATTATGATTCTTTTACACTAATTACAGATAGACAAGGGGAGGAAAGTGGATCATTTGATCGAGATTAAGGAAACAAAAGGTCAAGATCAATTAGTGTTACAAACTATGAAATCCGCAAATCAAATCTTTGATGAAAAATTTAAGTATTTGGACAATACATGTATCAAATCCGCGACGATATTTAGAGTAAATATGGGATTACGAAAATCAAATCCAAATGCTTATACACCAATGTTGATCTCCATTGGTCCTTACCATAAAAGGAATCATGAACTTAGTTCGATGGAGAAGTACAAATTGTTGTACCTACAACGATTTCTCCAACGAAAAGAGGGGCTTGATGTTGAAAGTTGCATTAGTGCATTGGAGAAAAAGAAAGATGAAGCACTAAAATGTTATGATGATAACCTTGACAATGATATTGTTGACAAGTTTTCAGAAATGTTGTTGCTTGATGGTTGTTTTGTGGTTGAATTTATTCGAGAGTACTATGCAACTGAGGAAAAAGAAGAAGAAGAAGAAGAAGACAACGACAACATCATCAACTTGGAATGGATGAAGAAACAAGTATGTCGAGACATGGTGTTACTAGAAAATCAACTCCCTTTCTTTGTACTTACCATGCTTCATAACATGACAAAGCATCATAAAGAAGTGAGCTTCTTGTATATGGTGAGAAAAACCTTACTTGATACTTTCCCAAAGGCGAAATTCATACCCCCATCAGAAATTCACAATTTTAATACAGAACGATTCAATCATTTAGTTCATGTAATACACATGTTTTGTCGACCATCAGATCATCATGATGGTATGAAAGATAAACAAAACAAAAATGCTAGCACACCAAAAGAATGTTGCAAGATAACATTTTGTGACAACGTTTTGCAATTAACCAAGTCAAAAGAAACTCCCAAAGTCCTTGGTTTATGGGATTGCTATCATATTCCAAGTGTAACAGAGCTTTACGATGCTGGAGTTAGATTCATAAGAATAGGATATGTGCAAGAAAATAAGGAGGATAAAACAACATTATTCGATATCAAGTTTGAGAAGGGAATTATGAAAATTCCTTGTTTTGCAATCGAGGATACTATGGAAACCTTCATGAGAAATTTGATAGCTTATGAGCAACATTCCTCTAAAGTAGATGTATATCCTTTTTTTTCAAACTACGCACATATAATGACTCAACTTATTGGCTCACATAGAGATGTGCAGTTTCTTCGCAAAGAGAAAATCATCCTTAAGGACATAGGGGATGACAAACAAGTGGCCAGCATTTTCAAGAAACTTTCAGATGGGGTGGAAATCACAAGCTTTTATTACATAAAAGAATGCAGCAAATTGATTCAACATTGTGATAAGCCATGGAGTCAAATGAAGGCTAGTTTAAGGCACAACTATTTCTCGAGTCCTTGGGTAGGAGCTTCAACTGTGGCAGCTATAACACTTCTTGTACTCACTGTTATACAGACTGTTCTGGCTTTTACTGGTGACGTTATGAAGTAATCTTTGTTGTAACTATGTAACACAACTATTGACTAAGTGAGTGTTTCCTCATTATAGAGAACTTGAAAAATAATATTGTTTGCAAATTTTCAGAAATACTTTTACTAGATGGATGTTTCGTAGTTGAGTTTATTCGAGAGTGTAGTGGAATGACGCCTAATAGCGAATTGTATGATAAACATTGCACGTCGAGATTTGTTGTTTCTAGAAAACCAACTTCCTTTCTTTGTGCTCACCAAGATTCATGATATGACAAAGGAAATTGATGATGGCCCATGCATCCTATCTTGAGAGGAAAGGTGATGTAAAATACATCAAACATTTCCTTCAATCAGGGGCGGACCCACATAGAGTCATTCGGGTGCTCTAGCATCCATTAACCTTGTCTCGGAATATATATATATATATATATATAGAGAGAGAGAGAGAGAGAGAAATTAAGAGATATTTGTATAAAATTAACATAGAGCACGCAGTGAACGAATGATCTGTCTAGTCCATTGGCTCTTGGATGGGTGCTTAAGGTTCTTTTAGTGTTGTTGAGCCTGAGTTTGAATCTTACTTTTAACATGTCATTTTTTATATTTCTGACTCCTCCACTTTCAGAGCATCCACAACCTTAAAATCTTAGATCCGCCACTGGCTTCAACTAGTACAACTTTATTTGATATCAAATTTGATAATGGACGGAGGCAAATTCCTTGTTTTGAAGTTGATGATGTAACAGAGACCCTTCTGAGAAATCTCATAGCCTATAAGCAACATACATATGATGTACTTCGTAAACATTTCAATGATTTGTTGTGTTCATGGATTATCATATCGACTCAGACAAATATGTGAATGTGCTTCGTCGAAAGGGAATCATAAGCAATCAATTAGGAGAGGACAATGAAGTAGCTAACATCTTTGATAAAATTGGGCAAGGGGTCATTATCTCTAGTTATTTCTATCACAAAGAAGAATGTAGAAAAGTTTGTAGAAGAAGTAGAATATTATTTCGAGCCCATAAGTTGTTTGTGTGTCTTTAAGAAATTATAACCCCCTCACTGTTGCCATGGTTTCGGGTTACTTCCTCCGAGGATAGAATGGAATAACATTTGTGTAATAGCGGCAATGCAAATTACAAAACCCTAGCAAACTCAACAAACGAAGAAAATCACACTACACTTAATGTTTTATTTTAAAATGACACTTTCCTTATTTCCCATTCATACTTCATATCCCCCAACAAATCCTCCATTATTTCATACATATATTTAATTGGCATAATACATAAACATGACTCTTAATTTGACTTTAGCAGACAATTATGCCCTCCAACGAACTTTGAGTCTGCACAAGTATGCACTTAAACTTGCAAAAATACCCTCCACAAAAAGGGTTTAAGGGACCTCATGTAACATGTTATTGTTTGTTGGGAGATATATATAAAAATCTTGGGCTGCTTGTAAGTACAGGGAGAAGAATAAATTCTATTATTATCAGATGATAAAGCATTGTATACGGAACTCCAAATTAAAGTCGTCATTAATGACTCCTTTTCTACTATAACTTTGGATGACTCTTGGCCTATCCTTTGTGATAAGATAGAAAAAATTAATTTATTCTATGATACTGAAGCTTTATTTATTCTAGGCATATATGCCTTTTTGTTGGCCTCAATAGACATCTAACTTTATGCCACATACACACGTTTTATGTGGCAAAACACATATAGGATGTCACGGAGAATCTATGCATGTGTTTGTTCAACTTTGTACAAATTTAAGTGTTTATCTGTGTACACTCAAAGTTAGAAGGGGTATAGATGTTAGTCAAGGTCAAACTAAAAGACATTTATGTATTATACATTTGTTCTATAATACTGAAGCTTTATTTATTCTATGATTTATGTATTATTCATTTATTCTGTGATACTAAAACTTTATTTATTCCATGATACTTTTCTCAAAAAATGTACATTATTTCATGTTAGTAATATAGGTAGGCTTGCAATCACACAAAAGAAAATCTATATATAATACTCATATATAATTTTTTATTCTCCATCTCTCATTCTTCACCCTCATAAAAGTTGAACAGAGAAGAATTTAAGAAGAAACTCAAGTACACTCCAACTAGTCCATTTTCAATTTATAATTAGATAAATCAAAAAGGTAATTATTATTTTAAATGTTTTACACATGCACCCTTTTATGTATGTACTTTTATATATATATATATATATATAGGTTACCTCAAATTAGTTTATTTTTCTACAGGTTATGACAAGACATGTATATAGGGTTCTTTTTCATAAAGCTACAAGAAAATTAAAATTGATTTCCCTTTTTGCTTGTCTTTTCTTTTCAAATCAAATTTTGTAATTAATTTGATTTAAAAAAATGAATTTTTGACCAAAGTTATTATTTAAATCAATTCATCAAATTAATACGTTTTTATTTTTTGAAGTTTTATGAAACTAGAATAAACGTGCTTCTCAATAACGTTTTAGGCTATATTTTATTTAGAATAAGTAAATATTAAATGTTGCTATCAATAACGTTTTATAATCTGTTACTCTGAGGTATCACGGTAACGTTTCTTTAGAATTCTAGTGATTTTTACATTATATATATATTTTTATTTTTTTTTATTTTATTATTTTTCTTGTCAAAAATTATTAAGTCTATAGTCTACCCCGTAGAATATTTACTATATTTGCCTCTGCCTCCAACACTTTTGTTTCTAATTTTCCTATGTTTACAAAAAGAGGATGAATTCTCAAATCTCAACCTTGAGTCTATGAATGATCCTTTAATTGGCCTCTGCCTTTGCCTCCAACATTATTATGAGTAACGTAATTAGCTGTAAAACGTGTCAGAGTGACGAATTATAAAACGTTATTGATAGTAATATTTATATCTATTTACTCCGTCAGACCTTTGTCTTTTTTTTTATTGAATTCTTTTGAATGAAATAAAGCCAAAACGTTATTAAGAAATATGTTTATTCTAATTTTGTAAAATTTCAGAAAAATATATTATTTTGATAAACTGTTTTAAATAATGGCTTATTTCGGTCAAAATTTCTTTTAAAACAAACGACTTTCTTTTGTAGGACTTATAGTTGAAGAAAGAAGTATGGCAGATCACTCCATTGAGATTACCCCAATAGGTGACCAAATTCCACTACTTCCTCAAACTAAAAAAGATGAGGTCTCTCTCAACTATATAAATTTATTTTTTTTATTTCATTAACACACTTTTCTTTTGGCAATTAAATGTATAATCTTTGTCTATATATGTGCATGAATTTCAAGAGATTTGGAGGGGTAATGCATAAGGTGAGGTAATTTTTTAAAGTCACGTGACATTTTTGAAATTAAAAAAATATTTTTATATATTTTTTTAAAATTCATTCTATTAACAAAAGGGGTAAATATGCATCATTTATAAAACAATGAAGGTATATATGCATTACTTTATTTTTTACGAAATATATATTTGATCTAGACCACAAAGTATACTTGCCTCTTCTCTGTTACAGATAGAAGAAGGGAGAAAAGTGGATCATTTAATTGACATAAATGAAAGAATTGATGAAATGTTTGAGGATTTAGACAATTCATATATTAAATCGCGTACGATATTCAAAGTAAATGTGTGGCAACGTGAATCAAATCCAGATGCTTATACACCAAAGATGGTCTCCATTGGTCCTTATCATAAGAAGAATACTCAACTTGCTCCAATGAAAAAGTACAAACTATTATACCTACGACGGTTTCTTCAACGAAATAAGAGACTTGATGTGAAAAGTTACATCAGTGAATTGGAGAAAGTGAAGGAGAAAGTATTGAAGTGTTACGAAGATATAGAAAAGTTTGGTAACGATAGTCATGAATTTTGCGAAATGTTGTTGTTTGATGGTTGTTTTGTGGTTGAGTTTATTCGAGAGTGTTGTGGAATATATCCAAAAGGAGAAGACAAGATTATTAATATTAATGATAGTTACATATTCCGAGACTTGATGTTACTAGAAAATCAACTTCCTTTCTTTGTACTCAACAAGCTTCATCTCATGACAAAGCAAGTTGATGAATTTTCATTGGCAATATTGGCGGATAAGTTGTTTACCTTGCAAGAAATGAGCCCCAATTACTTCTTTACAGAGAGAGAATATTGTAATGAAGGAAATATCAAACATTTACTTCATGCAGCACACATATTTTCATGTCATGGCATGAATCCTATGAAAAACTCAAAAAATGACAAAACGAGTCCTACGGTCATGCCAAATGCAACCGAGCTTTCCGAAGCTGGAGTTAGCTATGCAAAGGTCAAAAATATGACAAGTTTATTTGATATAAAGTTCGAGAATGGATTGATGACAATCCCTTATTTTCAGGTCGTAGATGGTACAGAAACTCTCCTGCGAAATCTCATTGCTTATGAGCAACAATCATCTGATGTAGATCCTACATATTTTAGCGATTATGCAACTTTCATGGATCACCTTATCAACTCAGAAAAAGATGTGAATTTGCTTTGCCAGAAAGGAATCATAGAGAACTGGATAGGAGAGGAAAAAGAAGTTGCTAGCCTCTTCAACAAAATCGGAAAAGGGGTCACTACGTATTCCAACTTCTATTACAAAGAAGAAGTCAAAAAAGCAATTGAATATCGTGAAAAACCATGGAATAGAATGAAGGCAAATTTAATGCACAATTATTTTAGTAGTCCTTGGGTAGGGGCTTCAACTGTGGCAGCCATTATACTCCTAATACTCACAACTATACAAACTATTTTAACTTTCACAGGTCCTCTTAAGAAATAAGTACTAGTAATTATCTCAATTGTAGTGTTGATGATCTTATTATGAGTTCTTCATTAATTCTATGTCCCCTTTTGTATTGGGTTTTCTAATTGAATGTTAAGCAGTTTATTTCAAGTATCTATATTTGTCACTTCCACCATCAAAAGGCAATAGCTAGCGCAATTCATAAATAAGAAACT